AATTTTTAAAAAAAACAGGAAGGGGGCAAAAACCTTTTCACGGCACTGTATATATACACTTTATATGTATTTATATTGTATATATAAATACATATAAAAGCACATATACTGTATATAACAATGCTTACTGATGATTACATTGTTTATAATACAGCAAGTCTGTCATAGTTCAAAGCGGCACAAACAAAATGAAAACACGTCAGAAGGACATGGGGTAGGAGATAGCTAATGTTGTCATGAAGGAAGCGGAAACAGGAAGAGCAGGAAAACGAAGTGGATGGGAGTGAGCGGTGGTTCTAGGCGTGCTTTGTGCAGACATCCTTCAGGACATTAGAATATAGTATTTTTAGCATCCTGTCCACTGCACTGTGTTTAGAGGGAGGAAAGTACAGATTGTCTCTCCCGACAGGGACCAATGCAAAGGCTAAGACAGGAATGAGCTTTCTAAAGACAAACAGCGTGAGGCAAAACAGACAATGCTGGCAAAAGCCACATTTTCCATTCTGTATGAACATTCAAGAGGCTTGAGAAGTTATCATATTGCCATCTAATCATGATGTGCAGCAGTAGATACATTTCAAGTTTAAAGATTGATTCAGCCTTTTTACATAAATCTCTCTCTTTACTTAGATTTAAGGAGTTTGAGATTTAAGGATCTTGGCAATAAGATTTATGTAAAAGTCATAAATAAACACTGCCCCCTGCTGTTAAATTAAAATTAAAATTGAGAAAATGTATTTGTGTCTTAAGTAGATGATTTCAGATGATTTATACATCTCAATTAAAAAAAATTTACCCTTATGACTGGTTTTGAGGTCCAAGGTCACATTTAGTTGTGTCCGATTATTATTTTATCAGAAACAACTAAAAATTCTGTATCATTTAATGTTCAGATTTCTGTGGTGCTTGACTTACTCTTGCATTACTGAAGCAGCCTCTGCCCAGGCACCCAAAGCCTCTCGGACATTTCTGTGCCTATAATGATACCCTGCTAGATACATGAACGGGTATATGTGCTCGTTGTTGTAGTGTTTTTTAGCCGAGTCAACAGCCTGGAATTTAAAAAAAAAATACAGATTAGTGGTTTTTAATAATGATAACCTTGTAAATCTCTCTCTTATAGCTAAAATCATAGACCTCTAAGTGAATGGAGAGAGGGCTTTCCTTGCCAGTCACTGGTTCCTGATCTTCAAGGTCGGCCAAAGTGCCCATTGCCATAGGATACCTTCAACACACCCAATACAAGAGAACAAACATTCAGAAAGAGTTCTATACAATAATCAGATCAAACGAGTCACATCCCGGCTCTGAATTGGTCTGATTTATTAGAAATGTATCACACCTCTCCAGATCCCCTCGATCATATAGCAGCCATAACAGCTTCTGCAGGAAAAAAAGAAAATGCATTAAAAAATTATCTGAATGACAATAGATACATAAATATGCATGTGTACAATGTATATGACAGAATAATTACAGTTAACAGTACATAACACAGAGAAGAAACAGCCAATATAATGCAGGAAACAGAGGTTGATGTAGTGAAAGTTTAAAACAAATCAAATTTGAAGACATACTTGCTGGAGCTGGAGTAACTCTTTACTGTCTGTGTGCAGATCTAGAGATGGATTGATGGCGCAAACCATGAATGCTACCTCCATATTCCTGTTGCACTTCATGTAGGAGCCTTTAAGATATAACCAGCTCTAAGAAAAATAAATGAGTAACAGATTTATAACATTTAAACTTTTTAACATTTACACTATTATTTAACAATTTGGTGTCAGTAAGATTTATTAATGTTTTTCTTATGCTCACCAAGGCTGCATTTATTTGAGAAAATAAATACAGTAAAACAGTAATGTGTGAAATATTATTTCAATTTAAAGTAATTGTTTTACATTTTAATATATTTAAAAATGTAATTTATTCCTGGGATGGAGAGGCTGAATTTTCAGTGTTGCATGATCCTTCAGAAATCATTTTAAATTGGTGCTCAAGTAACATTTCTTATTATTATCAGTGTTGAAAATAGTTGTGCTGCTTAATAGTTTTCTGGAATCTGTGATATTTTTTTATTTAGGATTTTTTGATGAATAGTCAAATTCAGTCCCAGTCTGATTAAATCTTAAAAATATAAATAAATGATTAACTAAAATAAAATGTAATACGGTGTAATCTTATGGTACATAACATCATTTTTTTTAAATAAAAAAATCTAAAAAAGACAAACATTTAAATAAATGTCACTTTACTGTCACTTTTAAACAATTGAATGCATCCTTGCTGAAAAAATAGTATTAATTTTATTTTTTTTAAATCATTCTCGCCCCAAACTATTGTATGGTAGTGTATGCATGGTGTTTATGAATATACAGTAGTTTATATCATCATGGTTTGTTTGTTTGTTCAACGCTATTCCAGCTTCTGTGGCTATTTTCATGGCAAGAAATATTATGGCTGAATTATATCATGTTTTTATCATTTATTTTTGCTTAAAACTCAAACTGCATTTGGCTTAACTCTGTTCAAAATCTCTTCTAACCAGTTAACTGAATAAAAAAAAATCTCAATGAGTTAAAACCAGCACAATCTAATAAAACATGCTTAATGGATAAAGGGATTCGGCAGAGAGAACATGTTGGAGGATCTTCCCCTAGTATTAAAAACTTGTGTGTCATCCTGGAATGACCAATTCGACAGTGGGTATAAACAATCTGGTCCCAATGGTTAGAAAATTATTTTTCCAACATTGGGACTAATTTCATGGAGTTTATTCATTGTATATAGATCCCACTCTGTTTTATAATATCATGGTAAACATGAATGATAGAACATTACATACCCTTTCAGTGATTCCAGCACTGATAGTCTGACCTCTTCTGTCTTCGTTGCCCTTCCCATGCCATGTGACCTCTGCAGTCTCTTCCCCGCCCTTGCCAAATATCACCCAGGCGTGGTCCTCCGAGAGAGCCAGATGAACATCCTTCAGGCCCAACACCTGACACGCAGATACCACTGCAAAAGCTACTCCCGAGCTGTCCAGCTTTGTGCCTTATGAAAAGAGAGACAAAACAAAAATGCAATTTGAGTCTGCATGACCAAATTGCTACCATTTCATTAAATATACTATATAACAGAGCCTGTAAGACTTTTGAAGTTCTACCTGTGATAAGACTGAAGAGGGACTGAATATGTGCCCTGTCCTTGAAATACGACCGGCTAAGACTGTTCCAGATCACATCTGAGACCTTTTTCACCAGCTCACGGCTGGAACCACCGGCCGGTTTGCGGTATTGTGACAGGTCCACGGCACCAAGAATCTGGGCGGTGAAGCGTTCGTAGATAGCAGATATGAGATTCAGCTCTACTGTAGGGAAGCAAGAGTCGAGGCAGTCAGGTTTAAGAGGTTCAAAGCGAACGCCCGGGACATTGACAGGAACAACTCTGTTGACAGCCAGGAAGTGCTCTACAAAACCCAGCACAAGGGACAGCAGAGCCAGGTCCGGTTCTGGGTTGCTAAACTCAGACTCGAAGAGCTGCACCACTCCATCGATGCCCCGAAGAGGGAAATGTTTCTTCTGAGCCGACCGAATCCCCATGGTTAGTGGTTGAGTTCAATCCCAGTCTGATTAAATCTTAAAAATATAAATAAATGATTAACTACAATAATATGCAATACGGTGTAATCTTAATAAATGAATAAGGGGCTGCAAAACAAATTGCATTAAAAATAAAAGTTTATAGTTACATACTATATGTGCGTACTGTGCATGTTTATTATGTAAGCATATATAAATACACACATGTACATATTAAGGGGAAAAAAATTATATTTATATATAAAATATTTGTTTATATATAATATAAATTATATACAAGTATAAATATGTATAAACATACATACAGGTATTTTTTAAGTATTATACATATGTATTTATATATACATAATAAATATAAACAGTACAGACACATACAGTATGTAAACAAACTTTTATTTTGAATACAGTTTTTATTGAAAGTGACATCCAAGTAACAGCTTTAATCAACATATTTCAGCCCAATTTACTCCCTCATTGTGTTCTGTAGATACAAAGAACGTATTTCTTATCTAATATGAGTGTCTGATAGTGTGAGCAGTAGTTCAGGCTAATCTTTGCTTACCAGACTAAATCTACAAGGGAAAAAATGGTTAAGTTTTGGTATTATACTCAAGTACTTTAATGGTGCTGCCTGCATAATAACAATTTGTTTTTATATAATTATCTCTTTTTAATTATGCCAAGTAGTGACCATAACTTAGGGGAATTCCCAGAGACAAGTGTAAGACAATATCTGATGTCCCAAATATGAAATGTAACGTTAAAATTGACATGTAAAAGTTTCAATGCAAAATACAGCTTTTGGGCTGGCTGAACGTGACATTAGACTGGTTTAATATGATAACTTACTATAGTATTTGTTTACTTTATTCATACCGAAGGCAGAAATTTAACCCAGCTGTCTTGCTTTATAACAAAAATAATGATATTACCAAAATGTAGCCAGTGCGTGAAATTTGAGCATGGATAACAACGCAACTGCAACCCATGTGCGTATGGGCGGACATCTGCGTGATGATGCTGCAGCTAGTTAGCTTAGACTATTATCCGTTTCTGGTGTTTTCCAGCTGAAAGGGCGTTTTGCAGAGAACCAGTTGTTCTCTCCTTACTTTCTAGGCAATAAAGTGCCGGTAGTTTATATCATCATGGTTTGTTTGTTTGTTCAACGCTATTCCAGCTTCTGTGGCTATTTTCATGGCAAGAAATATTATGGCTGAATTATATCATGTTTTTATCATTTATTTTTGCTTAAAACTCAAACTGCATTTGGCTTAACTCTGTTCAAAATCTCTTCTAACCAGTTAACTGAATAAAAAAAAATCTCAATGAGTTAAAACCAGCACAATCTAATAAAACATGCTTAATGGATAAAGGGATTCGGCAGAGAGAACATGTTGGAGGATCTTCCCCTAGTATTAAAAACTTGTGTGTCATCCTGGAATGACCAATTCGACAGTGGGTATAAACAATCTGGTCCCAATGGTTAGAAAATTATTTTTCCAACATTGGGACTAATTTCATGGAGTTTATTCATTGTATATAGATCCCACTCTGTTTTATAATATCATGGTAAACATGAATGATAGAACATTACATACCCTTTCAGTGATTCCAGCACTGATAGTCTGACCTCTTCTGTCTTCGTTGCCCTTCCCATGCCATGTGACCTCTGCAGTCTCTTCCCCGCCCTTGCCAAATATCACCCAGGCGTGGTCCTCCGAGAGAGCCAGATGAACATCCTTCAGGCCCAACACCTGACACGCAGATACCACTGCAAAAGCTACTCCCGAGCTGTCCAGCTTTGTGCCTTATGAAAAGAGAGACAAAACAAAAATGCAATTTGAGTCTGCATGACCAAATTGCTACCATTTCATTAAATATACTATATAACAGAGCCTGTAAGACTTTTGAAGTTCTACCTGTGATAAGACTGAAGAGGGACTGAATATGTGCCCTGTCCTTGAAATACGACCGGCTAAGACTGTTCCAGATCACATCTGAGACCTTTTTCACCAGCTCACGGCTGGAACCACCGGCCGGTTTGCGGTATTGTGACAGGTCCACGGCACCAAGAATCTGGGCGGTGAAGCGTTCGTAGATAGCAGATATGAGATTCAGCTCTACTGTAGGGAAGCAAGAGTCGAGGCAGTCAGGTTTAAGAGGTTCAAAGCGAACGCCCGGGACATTGACAGGAACAACTCTGTTGACAGCCAGGAAGTGCTCTACAAAACCCAGCACAAGGGACAGCAGAGCCAGGTCCGGTTCTGGGTTGCTAAACTCAGACTCGAAGAGCTGCACCACTCCATCGATGCCCCGAAGAGGGAAATGTTTCTTCTGAGCCGACCGAATCCCCATGGTTAGTGGTTGAGTTCAATCCCAGTCTGATTAAATCTTAAAAATATAAATAAATGATTAACTACAATAATATGCAATACGGTGTAATCTTAATAAATGAATAAGGGGCTGCAAAACAAATTGCATTAAAAATAAAAGTTTATAGTTACATACTATATGTGCGTACTGTGCATGTTTATTATGTAAGCATATATAAATACACACATGTACATATTAAGGGGAAAAAAATTATATTTATATATAAAATATTTGTTTATATATAATATAAATTATATACAAGTATAAATATGTATAAACATACATACAGGTATTTTTTAAGTATTATACATATGTATTTATATATACATAATAAATATAAACAGTACAGACACATACAGTATGTAAACAAACTTTTATTTTGAATACAGTTTTTATTGAAAGTGACATCCAAGTAACAGCTTTAATCAACATATTTCAGCCCAATTTACTCCCTCATTGTGTTCTGTAGATACAAAGAACGTATTTCTTATCTAATATGAGTGTCTGATAGTGTGAGCAGTAGTTCAGGCTAATCTTTGCTTACCAGACTAAATCTACAAGGGAAAAAATGGTTAAGTTTTGGTATTATACTCAAGTACTTTAATGGTGCTGCCTGCATAATAACAATTTGTTTTTATATAATTATCTCTTTTTAATTATGCCAAGTAGTGACCATAACTTAGGGGAATTCCCAGAGACAAGTGTAAGACAATATCTGATGTCCCAAATATGAAATGTAACGTTAAAATTGACATGTAAAAGTTTCAATGCAAAATACAGCTTTTGGGCTGGCTGAACGTGACATTAGACTGGTTTAATATGATAACTTACTATAGTATTTGTTTACTTTATTCATACCGAAGGCAGAAATTTAACCCAGCTGTCTTGCTTTATAACAAAAATAATGATATTACCAAAATGTAGCCAGTGCGTGAAATTTGAGCATGGATAACAACGCAACTGCAACCCATGTGCGTATGGGCGGACATCTGCGTGATGATGCTGCAGCTAGTTAGCTTAGACTATTATCCGTTTCTGGTGTTTTCCAGCTGAAAGGGCGTTTTGCAGAGAACCAGTTGTTCTCTCCTTACTTTCTAGGCAATAAAGTGCCGCTCGGGTTCATTCTCACCTCATACCTTTGTTGAAATTACATCCACATGCTTTTGTTTTGCCGCGCAGTAGACAGACAGACGTTTCTACAAACACCTGAGACGTAGGCAATCTGTTCGCATGTCAAAACGTTGCATCGCCTGGATCATGCTTAGTGCTTTTGTGAACAGATCAGAGACACAAAAAGTGCTTCCTGTTGTGTAGAAGATTTTTGGGAAATGTAGTCTCCTAGTGTATCTTTGCGGTTTATTGACGGTTGGCGAACTAGATTTTGGTGCATTATCGCCACCAATTGGACTGGAGTGTAAAGCGTCGACAGACAGATTACTTAAATTAAGAAGTATTACGATTGCTATTAATTCTGTTTTTATTAACGATTTTTTGTTCATCGTTTTCTGAGGGAAATGTGGTCAAATGTAGCCCTTTCTTCAACATCATAACAAGCAAATGAGGACATGTCTGTTGTTAACCAAAAGAGCGCGCTGTTGAACAAGAAATTAAACGCTGACCCACTGTTTATTATCGTGGTAGAAAAAAACTCCAGAGCACAAATGCGAAAGCATTACATAATCACGCCCCATAGAGTTACATAGCGTTTAGTGTATCTTTTCTAAGTAGGCGAGGATAGATTAGACATCAACTGTCCGTAGCTTTCAGGGTTAATAACAACTGTATGGAAAACAGTAGAATGAAAAATCTGTGACAATTCAGGGTGATATTATAGTAAGATTATTTTAACGACTGAAAATATGTAACAAACACTTACAGGTAATAGTGTGTAGATCACAATTTTGATACAGAAAGCATTTGTTTGCAACGCGTGATGCTGTCTGTATGAGAAAAGTCAGAGGTCTCTTAATATTTATGGGACACGTGAAGGAAAATGATTTTTTGTGGCACAATATCGAATCAAAATAGTTTTATGGCGTACCCCTTTAAACAAAGAAAATCGACCTCTCACCCCAATATTCTCTCTCTCTCTCTCTCTCTCTCTCGTGTACCCGCCCTATTTGTCTTCCACCGCCCCCATCCACTGCAACATTCAGGCAGGTTCGCCTAATGTGCTTGTACAGGCTCGGTGACGCCGCTGCTGTATTTGGAAATACTCGGTGAATCGGGAACGTTCAGAGTATCAATCAGCAGCCAAACATCAAGAGACACGTCTAAATCACAGATCCTGTAGAACAACACGACAAACATGGCAGATCCAATGACCCAATCTTCTCAGATTTCGTCGTCACAAGGCCTAAACGATGGGCATTCTGCATCGTCCAAAGACTCCAAGTTTTCCGGTAAGAGAACGTGAACTTCATACAACAGTTCCGTTGAATTGTGTTCTATTTGTTTTGATAAGTTTAGACTGCGAATTTACTGATGTTCCAAATGCATAGTGCTTTTAAGGACGATACCAGATTATATAGTGTAAACCAGATCGATTTGAATGAATGCATAAGTTTGAAATGCCTTTAAGCCAGTACTATGACTCTCTGGTGTTATGTAATAGCCTTGCACTGTTTATTTCTCACGTACACTTTCCATATCGCCTCCTTTTGGGCATAGTAGGAGGGTTTTTGGCGTTACACTTTGCAGGCAGAAATGGCATGGCGGATGTTGGACTCGGAATGAATGTGTTCTCATCCACAGCTTTGACCTGACGTTTATTTTTAGGAAAAGGCCACGGAGAAATATGGGGACACCTAATACCCCTTTGAACCCATGCTGAAATGGGCAATGGGAAATGTTGCGGCTCAGCTGATGATCTGCACTGCAGATGCATCCGAAACTGGAAGACAGTGTAAACGAAGGAAGAACCTACATACACACCCCATCTACAGTGCTAGCGAAGTGACAAGCTAGAATAATCAATGTAGGCTAGCTGTCTACAACCGATTATGAATCGTTCTTTTGAGTCGGATCTGGTCAAAGAATCAGTTGAATATGTAAAGAACTTGATCGGTGCGAGCTGTTTTCAATTTGAACCAAGAACCGTTACGAACCATTTATATTAGATTTTAATTAATTGTATTATTAGTGCATCATAATAGTTGTGCTCTAAAATAGTTTGTTTTTATGAACTGAATCGTGGCTGCAGCATACTGAACTGGGACATAGGAAATTAAAATAAACTGGTTTATTAATAAATAAATAAAAAAGACTGCTTATTACTGGGCCGTTTAAATATGCCCAGTCAGGGTGACGTAATTATGTCACGGCGTAAAAGAATAGGTTCTTTAAAATGGACCGTATGAAAGAATCGATTCGCGGGAATGAGTCGAATTACCTTCTATACTGCCGAGTCCAAGTACATTCAAGGATTGATTTGTTAATAAATTGTTCTCGCTGTATATATACACACACTCACACACATACATTATGTATATATGTAAGAAATGGTAAACAAACCCTTGGCCTAATAAATGCAGTTAAGTTGGCCCCTATTTACACGTTTTCAGTCGTTCTGTTGAAATGACGAGCTGCCATTTGCTCGGTTCCTGTATATTTTTTCCGTTGTGAAAACAATGCAGCATGGTTTTTGTTGACTAGGGATGTTGGTTCAGTGCTTTTTAGGTCGTCAGCAATATATGGAGCGCTTCTGGCCTCCTTGGTTTGGCTTCATTAAGGCGTCTGGGAATCTAATAGAATTAGAACTTGAAGTTAAGACTCCTGATGTCACCCTGCTCTGAATTTTCTGCACACTTTCAAATCGTTTGATGACTTCAAATGCTTTTTTGGCTCTTGAACTTACATTGATTTCAGTTAGGTGTCAAGAGTCACGTTACACATAGTAAAAGCCTGTATGTAAATATAAGGTATTAAATGATGCCATACCTGGCCAAATGGTGTTTTAATTCAATATTCTGTGTTAAATTCAGGTTAAGCTCCATCAGTAGAATTTGTAGCTGTGAACTGACAGTTATGTTCTTTAATTTGGAAATCTATGGAGGAAGCATGCAGTGGTTGCTATATAGGCGTCATTTGCAAGTGCATTTGTTTGCAAGTCATTGTTTCTTGTGAAAAATATGACTATGAGAAGTTGATTCATAACTTACCTATTATTTTTATTTTAAAAAAATGGATTTTAGGTACAAATTTAAATACAAGTGAAATTGTATATTTCATGTGTTATGGTTAGTCACTTTTTTTTTCTTTTTTTTTTGTCCTTCCTGGTTCATTTTGAATGAGATCAAGTAGTCTTTCAGGTGTATTTAAATGAATGCAACTTATAAATTATTATAATTAAAGCTACATACATATCAATTATATATACAGAGAGAGAGTTATGCATGCAGCTTTAATACTTTTTTTATATATGCTTTTGCATTTTGCTAACTAACATAGTTTGTCAACATTCCAAAAGTATTTTGTCAGCCACCCCTAGATGTTTTTGGTAGACCTTAACTTGTATTCAACCCAGAACAATCTGTTAAAAAATGTCATGCTATATGAGACCAAGAGATCATATTCAAATCTAATTCATCTTAGCTATATCAATACTGTCTTTTGCTTTGTCAGAAAACAGTCTCTCTCGGCCTCCCTCTTCTGTCTGGGCACGATCCCTAAGGTCAATGCAGCTGGCTGAGGCAGCACTCTTAAAGATTTAGGTGTCATCATTAAGTCCCCTCAGGAATAGAGCTGATATTGCTGGCATGACAGAGATGCCACACAGGCTCTTCCAGAGTCAGAGGCCAATCCAGTCCCACTTTAAGCATTGCCCTGTAACACAAGCCATCTTGGTGCATTTAACCTCTGCCCCTTGCAATAGATGGTATCTGTCTATCAGATCCTTGGATGTTGGATTACTACACCTTATTTCCTTATTAAATGTTTGCCGGCTAAACATGACCAACCGACCATGGTAGGATATCAGATTGTGATGCCATAATTGCACCATGTGGTTGCTGCTGTCACAAAAAGTGAAGCAGATTCTATATGGCTGACTCATAAGTGGGGGAAAAACTTCAATCAAGATGACAGAGGGTGTGTGGATTTGTCAGGATTTTGGTGTCCACATCAATGGTGCAAGGTGTGTCGCTTATTAAAAAGCGTTTGGGTGTGGTTTGGACAAGGAATGCCGTGAAGCAGGGGTACGCTCCTTATTTGTGACCAGTAGAGCTTGCCCTGTTTAAGACTGTTGCATTACTCGATCAACCTGTTCTCTTTAACTTTCTCACCACTCTCGCTCTTGGCACTCCCTGTTCTTGTTGAGATTCCAGAGTAGATTAATCCAATTCTGGTGACCTAGTGTTGCCTCTACAGCCTGATGATTGACCCAACTGTTGTAAGTGGCTTCTGGATGAATGCAAATATTGTTTGCTTCCAAATCACATGAATTTTTGAAGTGTGGCTGAAAATGGCTTCCCTTAACAGGTTACATAACACAGTGGTGCAACATGTGGGTGCTTTGCAGGGTTAGATGTCAGAAAGTATGGGAGGGATCATTAAAAATTCCATGAGAAAGTTCCACCATTTGACTATTATGAGTAAGTATTGTACACTGTGGCTGAATCATGTTCATCAAAAAGGAATGTTGTGTATATGATTAGTTCTGTTTGTACAGAAACAAAGTGCTTTAATAGGTAGTATATGTTATGTGTATAATACACATGAAAATAGGATCATGTTAATTTGTATTAATGTATAAGCAAAAGTGTTTATTTTAGGTACTGTGACTGGTCACTTTTGTTTGTTTTTTTCTTCCAGCTTTATGGAAGTTTTTTTCCTCACAAACTTAAAATGGTGAATCAAATGTTCAAACTGTCAAATATTAAATCAAATTCTAAAAATGTATGCTCAAACGATAAATCAAATGCAATTTCGTTTCTTCATTTGTAGCAATCAACTATAACAAAAATAAAATGAAATATAATTTGATATGTGTTTTCTTTAACAATTAATTAAAGCCCAGTCATAATTAAAACTATAATTAAATGCTCATACAATAAAGTTGTCCTATGAGCCTTTTCAATTAAATACGATCTGTGGCCATTTTGATCATTTTATTTATTTTTTATTTTATTTTAATTAGTTTTTTTTGTTTTTTTTTTTTGCATTTGAACCATTTAATTTAGGAAAAACTTCCATAAACTTTTTTTTTTTTTGCCTTCGCTAGTGTTACAAATGAATTTTAGTACCGTACAGTATTCAGTAAAGTCTTTCAAGTAGTATAAGCTGCATGCATAAAAGACTGAGGTATGTTTTTTTTGGAATAGCTTTACAAAGATGAGAGCATCTCACACCATCAGTAGTGGTTGATTATATCATCGATAAGTAGCTAACTTACTTGAATAGTAGATTAAAGGGAAAGATTACCAAAAAGTACAATTCTGTAATTATTTACTCACCCTTATGTTATTCCAAATCTGTATCACACAAAAGAAGGTCTTTTTTTTCTGTACTGTATATTAAAAGTCGACCAGATAAAATGTTGTTTGGACTTCAAACTTTTTTGTAGTCCACAGAAGAAAATCGCTCAGGTTTAGAACTATATGAGGCTGAGTAAATGATGACTTTTTTCTCTCTCTCTTTATTCCTTGTCAAGTAAAGCACTTAGTTATTTGCTGTCAGCTCTTTTTTTTTAAATTTATTTTACTTTTCTAGATTCTTGAGATGTGAAAGGTGCTTCGCTGAGCATTTCACTAACATTTTCCCCTTTCAAATGTAGAGTATAAGAAGGATACTGAGACTTTTCTTCTCATTCTTCTGTCCTATTTTATTTTTTCAGATTCCTTTTTTTCTTCGCCTGTATCTCTCATTCAGTCTCCTCAAGGCAAGTGTATAGTTCTCTTATGATGCTCGCCTGCTTCTCTACCTTTTATCTTTCTCTCCATGCTCCTCTGTCATCTCTGTTCTATTAAGTATGCTTTATCCCACTGGGCTGCTGCTATGACGCTCTCCATCCCTCTCACCAGTGACCCTCTCCTCCTCTATACCAGACTAGATGTTCGCAGTAAGGGCTTCTTTTGGAGTTCTTCCTTTTAGGAGTAGGAAATGAAGCAGAGGACACCGAAAGAAGCTACCAATTGTTTTACTAAAGAATTAGATCCTTATCTCTCAAGCTAGAACCCAACCAGTTTCTGTGGAATATCATCAGAATGTCCTCTCCTTCAATCTGTATGGTCTTGATAACTAAGCTCTTACCTAAACATTAACAATCAAGTTCATAATTAGTCTCACGCTTGCACGCCACTTGACCGTGTACTGTCCAGTTCAACTACCCTCCCTGACCAGTTTTGTAACAAGACCCTTGCTGTTTCTAATGGTGACCCCCTTGCAATCATGCACGTTGGAATCCATAATAACAGCCAAGTCCCTCCTGTTTTCAACAGTTTCTGAAATCCTCAAACTTGGATTCACTTCATGAATGCTCTTCAACTGAGATCATCCAAATTTCTGTGGCTTGTCATCTAATGCCTTATTTGATCTAACACGGTCTCTACTTGGCTCTGTAAATCCAACAATACCCTGTAATATATGGGTTCCCGGGCTAAAAAGTTGAACGTAGCCATTCCTGGCAATAATTTGTGGCTACTACTTCCTATTTACCATTAGTATCCCTTGTCATTTCATAGGCACCCCACATCTGACATGGTTCACAGATTAAAAATGGGAAAGCTAAGTCCCCACAGATGCTAGAAATTCAATCGGCTCCAGTATATATACCCACTGAAAACATGATTTAGGTCAGCGTTACTGTGGGTCCAGCTTAATCCCAAGATTGCCACCTTATTTTAATATAGCAGAGAAGTTCAAGTTCACTTTGTGCGAGAGCAGAATCCTAAAAATGGATCAGGTTGGTGTCCCTGAGGATTCATGTCCTTGATGTCCCCCCTCCCCCACAACAAACCGTGTTTGGAGCTACACCCCCAACACCGCACTGGTCCTGAAGGTAGAGTGCCACTGGGGAGGGATCTAGCGATGCTAGAAATTCAATCGGCTCCAGTATATATACCCACTGAAAACATGATTTAGGTCAGCGTTACTGTGGGTCCAGCTTAATCCCAAGATTGCCATCTTATTTTAATATAGTAGAGAAGTTCAAGTTCACTTTGTGCGAGAGCAGAATCCTAAAAATGGATCAGGTTGGTGTCCCTGAGGATTCATGTCCTTGATGTCCCCCCTCCCCCACAACAAACCGTGTTTGGAGCTACACCCCCAACACCGCACTGGTCCTGAAGGTAGAGTGCCACTGGGGAGGGATCTAGCAACAGGACGCTGCTTGGGGTTACATCCCCATGACTGCTGCGGCTGACTCTTCACCTGCTTTTTCCATGCATTTTGCATGTTGTCTTTTACCACAGAGTAAGAGGAAATTCTCAAATTTCAGTCTTTTTGTTTGTTTGTTTGTTCTTTTGTTTCGTGTCTATTTACTTTCAGGATTTTGATCATTGTAGAATTTATATATATATATATATATATAGGAAGCGTTAGCATAAAGTGGATCTTGAGTAAATTCCTCACACTGTGTTGAAGTCTTCAGATATTTTGCATATTTTTTCATAAAGATATTTTTTTCATAAAATTATACTATTTAAATGACTCATCATAAAAGCGTTGCTTAGTTTGCACAATGAGTACTTAACCATACCACAATCTTAAAGAGATGTAGGGATAAAAGTCTTCAAGTTGAAACATGTAAAGTACAATAAATTACATATTTGTGTACTTTAGGTATATATAAAATATATACCTATAAATTTAATCTATTTTCAGAAGGCTTTACTCTTACTGGGTAGACCCTATAATCACAGAATTGAGAAAATACTAGTTTCTGTCAGTTGCAGTGCACATGTTTTTTTACTAGCAGAAATGTAGCATACAGCATGCTAATTCAAAGATTATATCTTAAAGTAAAACCAGGAAGTGGCAGGTTTGTAAAGGGACAAAATAATTAGGATGTTAGAATGTGGTAGTCATAGTGTGTTATGTTACAGAGGTACCTGTAGTCCCTCCAGAACTGGTTTTATCACCCTACAGGAGAGTCAGGAGAAAATATTAAATTTAAAATTATTGTTTAGCATATGTTATGGAAACATTGTATTTAGATGTGCCTTGTTGCCTGCCTACCTCCACATAGTGCCTGTGATGGCAGAATTGTTCATCTTTTGGACACAGCCATTGTGTTGCATGGTAAAGTGGTCAGAACTTCCTTTTTCAGTATGTGTCCAGCATTCACTTTGCTGTATTCCTTGTGCTCTTATAATTCTGGCCTCATTGTGTCATCTACACCATAATGTGATTTCTTTATCATCTCTCTTTTTTGAGATGGTTTGATAGTTGAGGCATAGTTTAGACAGCCCTTTAGTAGAATCCACAATAACCGTGATTTAATTGTTTAACAAATTGATTTCTTTAGTAATTGTCTTGAGGGTATTGAGTACTTCATTTTGTTTGTCTGTTTTAATTGTTTCTTTGTTTTTGGGGGTGTTGTTTGATTATGGATGTCATCTGAAGTAAACAGTTGTGTAAATCTGTAATACATTAAAACCATTAAGAATCCTTTTGTGTGTCATTGAGATTCCTCAATGGTATCAGCACATTGTCAAGCTGGCATGCAGACATCAAACTCCATCCATTAATATGTGGGACCATGCAGTTGTGTGCATGATCGCTTTAGCTTCAGTTAAATGGATGCAAGCAAATTAAGCATCTTGGGGAATGCTCCATAAAGTTTCAATGTAGCTGCTGATTGCTAAAGTTGTTGGGATCTTTGACTCTGAAATTTTAATTCCTGATTTAAGACAATCCTATACAAACCTGAGCTTCAGCATGTTCCCCTGCTTTAGCAAATCGGAATTAAGGTAAAGTATGCCTTGATCTTTATTTCCAACCCTCCTTTTCCTCCTCTTTCCTGCTGCATGATGGATGCAGACAAAAGAGTGGTACTGGGCTCTGACAAACCTTCAGATAATTTGGCGACATCTCTTCGATTTTCTTCTCAGTCAAGTTCCTTTTCACCAGTTGCTTATGGAATCGACTCCTCAGGATCACCTGCTGACAACATAGATCGTACCTTCAAAGAGAAACGGGAGCTTTTTGATTCATCTTTTGGCTCTCAAAAGCAGGACTCCCCTATAAAGACATCCCCAGTGTCTGAGAGAATCAAAGCACTAGAAGCTTTAGCTGCAAAGCAGAATGATTTTGATAGAAGTGATGGGGGGTTTCCACATTTTAAAGAGCGTCACTATGAGAAGTCCCCAACTGAATCACATGGAATTTCCTCCCGCTTGTCCTTTCAGAAAAGGACAACATCAAATGAGCAGGAATCTTCAGAATTCCCCATTCAGAAAAGGAAAATGTCAAGTGAGCAGGAATCTCCAGAATCACCCTTTCAGAAAAGGACCATGTCAAATGAACAGGAATCGCCCTTTCAGAAAAGGACCATGTCAAATGAGCAGGAATCTCCAGAATCACCCTTTCAGAAAAGGACCATGTCGAATGAGAAGGAATCTCCAGAATCACCCTTTCAGAAAAGGACCATGTCAAATGAGCAGGAATCTCCAGAATCACCCTTTCAGAAAAGGACCATGTCGAATGAGAAGGAATCTCCAGAATCACCCTTTCAGAAAAGGACCATGTCGAATGAGAAGGAATCTCCAGAATCACCCTTTGAAGTGCTTGGAGAGGAAAGGCGTGGAAGTGACTTTGAGGACACTGCTGACTGGATGAGAGCTCACTTACCTCCAGCACCAGATTTCAACACTGAAGATCCTGATCTTGAAGAGGGAAATGATTCTCCCATGGCGCAAGAGAGCCCATCCAAAGTGATGAAACCAAACAATGTTGATACAGCAGAAGTTCCAGAACCTTTTGCAAGAGTTCCTGATCAGTTTATGGACAGTCCCATCAAAGTGCCAGATGACATCAATCAGACAAAGGGTGATGACAACAAGCAATCAAAACAAGAGAGTGTTGAGGAAGATTCTGAATTTGACCTGAACTTTTTACCAACAGCCTATATGTGGGACAAACAAGAGAAAGCTGATTTGGGCACTCAAGGCTATCAGATATTCCCTGACAATCAAGAGCTTCTTTCCTCCCCTGTTTCTCCTGCAGATTTTGAGTCTCCATCACCCCCTGTGTCCCAACAGATGGAGCCTAGTTCTACACAACATTCCAATATTTCAAAGGGAAACTTGGAGCCTGCTGAAATCCAAGAGGTAGACAGCTCTGGGGAGTCAGATGATACAGTGATTGAGGAAACTATGAGCATCCCAACAGTGGGAAACAATGGCCTTTACACCAAAACCCACAAGGAAGAGGAGACTGTTCCAACCACTGAAAAACAGCCAATTCAGGTACCTATTATTAATGTAATTGAAACCGAGGAACAAGTTTTAAGTGATGATGAGGAACCATTTGAGGTGGAAGCGGAAGAGGAGGAGGAGGATGAAAAGTGTCAGATATTGCAAGGTGACGGCAAAAGGTCACCAGAGCAACGTGACTCAGAGGTCCCAGAAAAAGTATCTGTGGAAACTCTACATGACGAGCATAAACCTGACCATGGCATTTCCTCTCCTACAAATCAAAATGAATCTGATGCTGAGCACTCTCCTGAACACAAGGTGATTGAAGATGATTATGAAAGTGGCATTTTTCTCCAGTCCTCTCCGGACTCTGGAGGCCTAAATTCAGAGGACTCTCAAGAGCTTATGTCTCAGAATTTAGTGACCTTTGAACCCCTTAAAGAGTCATCCCTTGATAAAGACCTAGACAAGACCGCAGAAATACTTTCTGACCTTCCCCCTGACATCAGTTCCCTCTCAAATGAGCCCAGTGATGTAGAGACTTACCTGGATCATTACGCCAGTGAAGAGCTTGCTTTAAAAGACCAGCTGAATTCATCTTATTTTAAGGAAAGTAAAGGTGAGAAAACAGAGTTTTCAAAGTCAAGCTGTCTTCAAGATAATCAAAATACAAATGTTCCGGAATCATTTGAGCATATTCCTGATGATTTCAATGAGACACCCAACAAATGCAGGCTAGACTATGAATCTGTGCCTGACCCTTCATCTGATATTCCTGATGATATTGAGACTATAATCCCTCAAAATGAAATGCCAAGTGTTGATTCAGAAGATCAAAAGTCATCAGTAGAAATCAAGGCTTCAATCTTGCAGGAACAGGAGGAGTTGCCAGTCCAGTCCATTGATCGACAGCCACCAGTTCAAGAGAACCCACCTGCACCATTTCCCTCTTTTCACAATGAGCAGTCTAGCAAAATCAGTGAAAATATTTCTGGCCCTGTGGCAAATGAGGTTACTGAGGGATCAGTGATAACCAAGTCTGAACCTCGAGTTGTGCCCACCAAAGATCTTTTAGATAGACCGGATTCGCCAGAGACCCTAAGTGATACAGAGACGTTTGAAGCAGAATGTTCAGTAACAGCAGCGACTGACAGCTTCGTGGAGTTCATGAGGGAGTGTCTTAAGTCACAGCAGGATGAGGAACCTGAGGTCTTCAGTCCCGGACACAAAGCTATAGACCAGAATCCCAAATCTGATGCTCCTGCTTCCACTCAATCCTCTCCAGCTATGATCATGGACTTGGAGCAGGAGCGCCTCACAATTTCTGCTTTGAAAGAGCTTGGGAGCAGCCAAGAGGACGAAGACAAGGATATTCCCACTATGAAGACTGTCCTAAAGCATGATAACGCTGCACTTCCTACACCTAGACCTGAGACCTCAGTCACCTCATCTTCTCACACTCTTCAAAACAAGTATCAGCCTGATGCCTTACTTCCCAAAGAGGTAGAGGCAATCGACATTTGGGTTGCAGAGGCCTACCACCTTGCAGAGCATGTCTTGACAGCAATACTAACCCATCTTACAGGTAACATGTCTTTCTTCTGGGCAAGTAGCCTGCTAACCCTGCACGCATAGTATGCCCAGACACTAGACCTTACTTACCTCTTTTACTTTATAACTCAACTTTAATTTACTCAACTCTAACGTATAAGAATGCTTCTGAAAAATGTCAATAACTAAACACTCTCAAGCTATTACAATAGCCTTATGGAGATTCTAAATGCCTTGTTTGTTGTGAGGTAATCTTTATTAAATGTACTGTTGTATTTTTTTCTAAGACATGTCCCATGACCTTAACAACATGATGGTACAATATTAAAAGTGATAAGTACCTGTATAAACATTCCTGCAGGATGGCTGCATGCAAAGCTCTTGAAGTCAGATGGTACAGTTCATGTCTTGTCTCAGGTTTCATCTTTTTATGTAACCTTCTTCAGGAAGTCAGGATAAATGTGTCGTTTAACAGGAGTAGCATTATCTTCCATTTGGCAGTTAGTAGGCTATTGTTTTATGTGTACACTCATCTGGTGTGACACGAGAGAAAGTGATGAACTCAATTTTTTAGCTGTTTACTAATTCTAAATAGATTCTTATGCATTCTCAAAATATGATTTTAAGTATTATATATAGTCTTATATATTTTACCCCCACCCCTTGTCACACATTGCTCCGTAAAACTCAGTTGTTTCACACATATGCAGAGAGAACGATCCAAAGCCTGACTCATTATCTAAAGCGTGTACATTTTCTGCATGCCTTCATTTACCATGAATGACTATGTTACGAGGTCTACAATTATGCTCTTAGCAGACACTTCCTTAATAATGTATATTCAGGGTTTTATTAAGACTACATGATAACTGTGATTATTCATTATCAGCACAATTATTCATTTCAATTAAATAAATAGCCTATATTGTGTTTTTTTTTTTTTTTTGTACTCTACATTTCCAAAACAAGCTGAGAATATTTTTCTCAATTACTTTAATGTTGAGGTTTGAACTTTGGACTCCTGTGAAGGATCCCGTTGTGATCAAAGTTAATGGAGAATAAATTTGCTTCTCACAATTAGTTATTCACAGATAATTTTATAATTGTGAAGCATCAGTTTCCATATTAAAAAATAATAGTTAAAATCAGGCATCAGGTATCATATACAACTTTTTTTTTACCAAATTTATTAATACAGGTTAATGGTATTTTATGAATATACTATATTGTTATAAATATATTCTTTTGTTGTTCATTTATGTTCATTTATATGCATTTGAAATGTTAACTATATTAGTATCTGTAGAAATTTACATGAAGTAAAAGTAACTGATGTTAATGAATTCAACCTTACTGTAAAGTGTTGCCAATTCATATAGACAGTAATTCATTTCTTGTGCCAGATGCCATATATAGCTGTAACAGAGTAAGTGGGTTATTTAATAGATCTAGAGCATATTCTTTGTCTCACTTTTCAGTCTGCTTGAGTTGTTAACTGTGGGTGAGATTTATTTATTTTTTAACAACGTTTGCAACTTGGCATTTTAGCTGTCAGTCATGTAAATACAGCTGACTGAGAGCTTTCCAGTGGTGTGAAAGTTTGTTTTAATGGGTGTGGTAGTTTCCACTTGGGTTTGTCAGAGCTGTAGATAATAGCATGTGGTTGTGTGAACTCTAGCGTGGGTTTGGCTAATAGCTGCACTCAATTATTTATTTATATGAATATGAAGCTACAAATAAATATTCATATTAGGCATTAGAATTTTTCCAATTGGTCTGCCTTGTAAAATGTAGTAATTTAATTTCACTTGAGACTTTAAAAGGATGAGAAGCAAGTGCAAACATTTTAAGCATGCTGAAACAGACCATAGTGTATAAATATGGCCAATAGCCTTTAAATAACTGACCTCATTAGGGTTTCATTGCATGAAAATTGGCTCACGCTGTTCGTTTCTCAACATAAAAATGAGCACTCACTGTGACAAGGAAAAACTGGAATTTTTAGCTGAACTTCTTCTACTTGGGTGGGATGGGTGATTTCATGCATGACTCTTAAATGATTCACACACACGTGGACTCTTACATGGTTTCGTACCAATGCATTAGATGGTGTATGTACCTTTAAGAGCCGAGCTCTGTGAGAACTGAAAGAGGCCACTGCGGCTCAGCAGCCACTGGGACATGCTGTTGTATCTGGGTCCACTAACGCCAGCGAGGGAGGGAGGGAGGGAATGATAACAAATAACTGTTCTCAGCCTAGGCTGCCTCCCCGTGGGCACTAGCAAAGCATGCTGGGAGGGACTCAGACCCCTGCAGTGAGCAAGAAGGAAACCCCTCACATGCACTGAGCGTTTTAGCCTCCGAGCTGTGAGAGTGGACAAAAACAATGGTGCTCTCTCAGGCTCTGAATCATTTGCCACACACCATTGTGCTGTAGTTATGTCACGTTGACTGTTGTTGTAAACAATCTTTTTTACTCTGGTTTCTCAAGAACAGTTATTCTTGTTTTTCACTTTTTAACCACTTCCTCTCTTAAAATATAGCATTCAGCTGACCAGAGCTCATATAGAGTTCCAAATTAAAAAAAAAAAAATTTCTATATTTTTTCACAATTATTATTAATATTTTTTTTTTTAAGTATGCCTGTCTGTTTGTGACTTTGGTGTCCCATGACATTTTTTGAAGCATGTCTTGGGACATGACATGCAGGCATTTTTTCTGTTGTGAGAACAGTAGGTACACTACTGTTCAAATGAGTTGGGGGCCAATAAGATTTTTATTTAAAGGAAATTAATACTTTCCGTTTTCGTTAAGTTAAATTGATCAAAGTGGCAGTAATGACAATGTTACAAATGATTTCTATTTCAAATAAAAGCTGTTCTTTTGAAGTTTCCACTGAAATATTAAGCAGAACATTTTCAACATATGTTTTTTATAAGATGAAATGTTTGGGGATGATTTCTAGGGATGTAACGATTAACCGCGAGCCGGTTGAAAATCGATTCAAATATGTGATGATTCAAATCGGTTGAGATGCTAAACAAATTGCGATTCATTTAGGTGTAGGAGTTTATATAAATGCATGTCTGAGGGGAACTTACTGTCTTTAGAAAAGTTTAGATGGTATTTTTTCTAACCTGCTGGCAGAGAGTGCATCTGCGTCTCATTCAGATCGTGCGCTGTTTCATGCAGATATTTTTATGTATAATTTCACAAAACTGAAGTAAAACCATTCTGTTTTTGCTTCAAATTTCGAAATTATACAATCTAATTTAGATTAAAAACTGCTCATGTTTCATGTATGCAGCATCTTTGTTTGGATCATGATTAAAACCCAGTGGTTGCCTCTAATTTTAAATGGAAAGAGCACAGACAAAGCCTTAGTTTGTTTATATGAAGAGATTTATTTTATTTATTTATTTGATTTGGGGCTTGTTTAAAAATTTCAATTTAGTTTTGTTATTTACATTTACATTAAATTTAAATTTTGTTATTTAGCAAACGCTTTTATCCAAGGCGACTAACAAATGAGGACAATAGAAGCA